GCCCTCCGAACGAAAGAAGGCCCTCAGGAGGTCGGAGCAAAACTCCCCACCTCGGTCTGAGTGCAGACGCAGAACAGGAAGGTCTGAACCGAAACTCTCACTGAGCTGGCGACGAGCACCGCGAATCCAGTCGATCAACACCTCAGGGACCTCACCCTTGCTGTGCAAGGGGAAGACTGTGGTGTAACGCGAGTAGTCGTCAACGACCAGCAGGAAGTAACGCTCGTGACCCTGTCCACGGACGCGGGCTGGGCCCCACACGTCCATGTGAAGAGTCTGCAGAGGAGCCTCAGTCGGAGGGAACGAGGAGGAGTGAGGAGCGGCGCGCTGCCTGCCCTCGACACAAGGAACACAGGTGGGGGCAGGCCCCGGAGGAAGGGGAGGGAGGGACTGGGGTAGACCCGAGACAAGGGCACGGGAGGCCATACCTCGAAGACGAGGCAGGGAGGGGTGACCAAGGCGGTGGTGCCAAAGGAGAGTCTCGTGCGACAGAGGACGGCACGAGCAGGGGGCAGACGCAGGACTAGACCTGGACGCGGCAGCAAACACCTGACTAGACGCAGCTACGTGGCCAGACGCAGAGACCGGAGGAGGCGCAGTAATCAGTGTGTGGAGACTCGACCCAGGCCGACGGGTGAACGTGGCCAGGTGGCGGCCCGTCCGAGAGCAAGTGCAGTGGGTCACACGCTGACCTCCAGGGGTGAACTGGTCAACCCACGCGTCCTGGAGGTCAGCTCCACTCACCAAGTTCGTATAGAACGAGGGGAGGTGGAGTCCCGACAGCAAGCCCGACGGGGCCGCAAGACACGGTAGAACCGTGGAAGAGTGTGCAAGGACTGGGCCCCCTGAGGGGTCAGCAAGGGAGACTGCAACAGGCCGACTGAGCGGCGTGAGTGTGGTGCTGTCTCTAAAGAAAGAGCGCGAAGCACCAGAGTCAAGTGTGAAAGTGTGCAAGGCCTCAGTAGGTGCAGTACCTGAGAGAGCAGACGCACCAGCACCTGGAGCAGCAGACGCACCAGTACATGGAGCAGCAGACGCACTAGCACCTAGAGCAGCAGCCGCAATGCCCGGGTCGGGCGGGACACTCAGGTAACAGTCACCCTCAGCACTATCAGCAAAAACATATATGGCAGCAAGGATAGCATCGAAATCAAGATCAAAGATAGGCACATTCTGCAGAAGCAGATCATGCCAGCGAGGGAGCTCAATAGCGTCAGGAAACTGGGCACGCCAGGCGTCACTCAAGCGACCGAAGCAGCGCTGCGTAGTGTGTGGCAGCCCACACACCTCCCCACGACGACTGCTGGTGCGAAAAACGTAAGTGCAGGGACCTGCACCCCCAGACCTCCCACGCCCAGCGTACCACTCACGAAGCTGCTGGACCGACAGGGTCTCACGGGAGCGCAGCTGCTGCTGGCGCTGGCTGCCACCAAAGCCTCCACGCTGCGCGGCTGCACCTCGACCAGCACCACCGCCGCCGCCACCTCCACCACCGCTGCCGCTGCCTCCACCACCTCCGCCACTGCCGCCACTACCCCCACCGCTGCCACTGACGCCCCCACTCCCGGTACCACCCCCACCTCCACCGCCACCTCCTCCGCCTCCTCCACCTCCTCCACTGCTTCCCCCTCCGCCCCCTCCACCACCCTTGCTCCCCTTGCCCTTGCTGTTGCGGCGTCTCCCACTAGAGGCAGAGGCAGCTCCGACCTCCTCAGTGCCAACGAGGTCGACAACAGCAGCAGAAGCAACAGAGGGGAGAAGGGGGACAGGGGAACACCCCTCAAAGAAGGGGGTGCGACGGTCGCCGCGAGAAGCACCTACAGCTAAGATACTCTTCTCAGCTGCAGCAAGGCGCTCCTCTAGCAGGTCGACAGCCAGCTCGGTGGGGCAAAGGGAGAGAAAGTGGTCCCTGACAGAAGAAAGGGAGTCAGGGAGGCGGGTGACTAGGTAGTAAAGGGTGATGTACATGGGGGGGGGGGGGTTCTTGGCACAGAACTCAGTGGGAAGGGCAGCGCGGTAGCGGGCGTCACTAGTGCGAAGGTGAGCAACTAGGTCAGCAACTGTGGCAAAGGCGGCAAGGTCAGGGAAAAGGTACGGCAGCATGAGGCGGTTGAGGGCAGCAGTGGCAGGGGAGGAGTAGCGTGCAACTACAGCGTCGTACAAAGACTGAGCACTCTTGTACTGGCCAAAATGTGCGCGCTCAGCAGGCGGCAGGTGACTACGAACAGCAAGACGAGCAACAGCGTCACGAGTGGTACTGTCAGCAGTGGCAGCAGGAGCAGTGGAAACACCGGACGTGTGATCGAAAAGGGATACCCCATCGCTAGAATCACACTGAAGAAAGAGCTGGAGGTCGTCAACCCACACGTCAAAGTCAACTGCACGTCCCTCAGCATCAAAGGTGAGAACGGTAGGACTAGCCATAGCAGCAGTAGGAGCAGTAGCAAGAGTAGTAGCAGTAGCAGTAATAGCAGCAGTAGCAGCAGTAGTAGCAGAGGCAGTAGGGCAGTGCAAGGCAGTGCGGCTCGGTAGGGCAGTGCGGTTCGGTAGGGCGGCGCGGCTCGGCTGAGCGGCGCGGCTCGGCTGGGCGGCGCGGCTCGGCTGGGCGGCGCGGCTCGGCTGGGCGGCGCGGCTCGGCTTACTAGAGACGGATGCAGGCGCGGGCAGTGACTGCAGGGGCCGCGCCAGTAGGGGGGGGGGGGGGGGGGGGGGGGGCGCACCATCAGGGGCCGCGCCAGCAGGGGCCGGCAGGGGCGCGTCAGCAGGGGCCGGCAGGGGCGCGCCAGTAGGGGTGCGTCAGCAGGGGCCGGCAGAGGCGCGTCAGCAGGGGCCGGCAGGGGCGCGCCAGCAGGGGCGCGTCAGCAGAGGCCGGCAGGGGCACGTCAGCAGGGGCCGGTAGGGGGCGCGCCAGTAGGGGCGCGTCCGCAAGGGCACGCAGGGGCCGGCAGGGGCGCGCCAGTAGGGGCGCGTCAGCAGGGGCCGGAAGGGGCGCGCCAGTTGGGCCGGTAGGGGCGATGGCAGCTGCTGCAGGGGCAGCTTAGATCCACGAAGGGGGCCGCGAAGGGGCCGCGAAGAGCCGCAGAGAGGGCCGCGAAGGGGCCGCGAAGGGCCGCTAAGGGGCCGCGGAGAGGGCCACGAAGGGCCGTGAGGGGGGGGGGCGCGAAGGGGCCGCGAAGGGCCGCAAGAGGGGCCGCGAAGGGTCGCGAAGGGGCCGCGAAGGGCCGCGAAAGGGGCCGCGAAGGTGCCTTTAGGGGCGCGACGGGCCGCGAAGGGGAGGGCCCTAAGGGCGGGCTGCTAAGGGCAGAGCGCGCGACGGGAGGGCAGGCGGACGGGGCGCAGCTAGGACAAGCGGTAAGCGCGCTTCGGGCAGGTAAGGAAAAAAAAAAAAAATCGTAGTGGTGGGCCCTTAAAAAAACGGTCCCACTAGGGAACCCGCTCTATACCATGTGAGAATAATGAGAGGAATGAATGAACTAGGCAGCGGATGGGTACAAGTATGAAAACCTAAAAGTGTTGTACCCTGTATTGACTACCCCACTAAAGCCTAGATAGACTAAAGCAGATATGTTTTGACAGAGTTCACGACCAGTGGCGGGGCGAAGGGGCAGCGCACGGGACAGGGCGAGCAGGTGCAGCAGGCGCGATGGGACGGGATGGGCGGGCGCAGCAGGCACGACGGGACGGGACGGGCGGGTGCTTCAAGCGCGACGCGACGGGACGGGCAGGCGCCACTGGCACGACGGGACGGGACGGGCAGGCGCTGCGGGCGCGACGGGACGGGCAGGCGCTGCGGGCGCGACGGGACGGGCAGGCGCTGCGGGCGCGACGGGACGGGACGCAGGGCAAAACAGGCCGTGCGCGTGTGGGTCCATATCTTTTAAAATTACAGGAAGGTTCCAGGATGGAACCAGCTCTGATACCATGTCAGAATAGTAGCTAGAGGGTGAGACTAGGAGCCATCCGACTATCGAGAGAAATGGAGCAAGGAAGAATGAGTTTCACTATAGAGAGTGAAGTACAAATAGGGGAGGAAAAAGGGTACACCACCAAGCAGGAAATTAGGATAACTACACTACAGCTAGAACTACATGCAGTTATAACAATATAATTCTGACAAAAAGGCACAATCACACCTCGCCACTGCACGTGTAGAGACGACGACCTTGAGGCGTGATGAACAGAAGGGCACGAATGCTGTATTCAATATGCCAATGGAAATGCATCAGGGTTTCACTTTAAGGCAAGCACTGCATAAAACAATGGCAAGTTTCGTGGTACAGTATTTGACGGGCACTTCTCAACCTATGTACAGTCGAATTCTATCGTCTGCTGCAACGATCTTTGGGGTTTGGCTTTGCCAACGAGCTGCTCGTCAAATGGTCGTGTGCGGTGGGAGGAGGTACAGGCACCAGGCAGCAGCGGGACTGGTCATGGGCGTAAGGAGGAGACGAGTAGCATGAGTGGTTGGGGAAGGGCGAGAAGGCCGTCATGGTGGTAGTTCTCGAGTGGAACACGAGAAGTATGAGTGGGAGCACGGTGCACTCTCAAGTGGGTATCCACACGACAGAGGCCATGAAGTGTCTTGTGCTCTGAGGGGATTCAGCAACTGTGGGGGTGATGCTCTTTTATGTTGAGCCACATGAGAAGGCTGTGGAGGAGGGGGTGGTTTCTGGGCTGGGTGGGATGATGATTGGGGTGGTGCCGTGTGATACGCCTTGTGGGATGAATCGGTGAAAGGTTGAGGAGGTGTCTTGTTGTGGGATTGAGGGTCGGTGAACGGTGCAGGTGGGAGGTGCGATGCATCAGGGCAGAGGAAATCGAAGTGGATTTTGTAACCCGCGACTGCAAAGCGCAATGTGTTGAGGACCCCCTTGGCCGCCCACGCGGCTAGAAGCGTCTTGAAGTGGAAGAATGCAAGTGCTGTAGGAGGGGGGGGTGGGAGGGAAGGGGGAGGAGGCATTGAGGGAAGGAGATGGAGGATTCAATTTGCTGCTCGACTCTTAAGTCATCGTGTTGAGGACCCCCTTGGCCGCCCACGCGGCTAGAAGCGTCCTGAATTGGAAGAAGGGAGAAGGGAGGGAGGGGAAGAGATGGAGGAGAAGAGGGAGTTGGTGAAATGGGAATGGGAAAGCGGCAAGGGATGCGGGGGGGAGGAGGAGTAAAAGAAGAGGGAGACGGTAAACGAAGGGAGGGGGAACTGAAAGAGATGGGACAAGGCGAACGAGGAGAGGTGGACAAGAGAAACGACGGTAAACGGGAAGAGGTGGATAAGTGAACGAGGAGAAAGGGAAGAGAGGGGAAAGGCGAAAAGGGAAAGGGAAGAGAAGGAAAAAGCGAGCAGAAGGGAAAAGGGAATGAAGGAAACAATATACTGTCAGAACTAGAGCTGAGAATTGATACATTAGTAATGAGCTCAAAGCTCTTTAAGTACATCGGAAGTGGGCAAGGTAAGGATGGGGAGGGAATCGGAGGCAATCCTAGGGGATTGAGGGTAATCCCAAGGCAATCTCCAATTGGTGGGTTGGAGATTGCTTGGAGATCACATTTGGGTTTGGTTGGGATGTGGGTGTACACCCAACCAAACACAAAGTGCACACTACACTAGGATATAAAAAGTGCAAGTACAAAATGTGAGATTGAGGGCTAACACTAACATATACCAATGCGGAGGAACTGAGGGTAAAATATGGCATTGCTGGCATGAATGACCAGTAGAGAGAAGCAGAAAAGGTGGAGGGAAGAACACTTACAGACGACAGGAAGGAAGAGCGTGAAGAAGCCAACTGCCAAGCACGCTGCCATGTAGGAGAAGGCCTGAGCCGCATAGATGAGCCCATCGTACACGAATACCTGGGGGAACAGAGAGCGATGAGGGCGGGGAAGGGAGATTAGAAGGAGGAGAGAGGGGGGGGGGGGGGGGGGGAGAGGGGAGGGGTTGGGGGAGAACACTCAAAATGGAGTTGAGAGGTGGAAGAAGAATAACAACAGAAGTGGGTGCGTGGAGAATAGTTCATCCACTCACCACGGAGTTGAGCGGCTGCATGAGCGCGAGGAAGAGCCACACGTGCTTCAGCTGCGCCCTGGTGGTCTCGTCGTATGTGAAGAGCGCGACAATGTGATGCTCCAAGAATATGTATGCCACACAGATGAGGATGCCTGGAAAACGAGAGGGGGCAGCAGGGTATTGGGGAGAGAGGCGAGGGGGAGAATGGGTGAATGAGCTTTAGGAGGAGGTAAACTGCTCCGTTATAGAGTGAAGTGAACCTACAACAACCCGCACCTGCCCTCACTTCCATCTCGCCTCCCTCACCTGACACCAGCCCCATTCGCAGCACTCACCAGCCCCATTCGCAGCACTCACCCGCCACTTGACGCACCTACAGTAATGATCACCTGCCCACCCTCCCCTTCCCCCTACCTCACCTGCCATCAGCCCCATGCACAGCACGCGCGCTCCAGCAGGTGAGCCTCAGATCTGCCAGCAGCGCGGCATGCTCCCCCCTGGTCTGCGCCTGTGCCATCTCCCCTACCATTCACGCCACCTCCAGTTGATGTAGCCCATCTCTTTTGAGGCCTCTCAAAAGTTATCTCCCCTACCATTAACGCCACCTACAGTCCCTCAAAGCCCCTCCCTCACCTGCGCACAGTCCCATGCGCAGCACGCGCCAGCAGGTGAGCCTGAGGTCCGCCAGTAGCGCTGCATGCTACCCCCTGGTGCGTGCCTGCGCCATGTGCCCTGCCACTTGAGGCACCTACTACCCTCACCTGCCCCGACTCCCTTCCCCCCTCTCTCACCTGCCATCAGCCCCATGCGCAGCACACGCCAGCAGGTGAGCCTCAGATCCGCCAGCAGCGCGGCATGCTCCCCCCTGGTTTGCGCCTGCGCCATCCTTCCCGCCAGGCTGCTGGCCACGATGGTGCCCGCTGTGGCGAAGCCGTCTGCAATGTAGATGTTGACCATCCACAGCTGCATTAGGATCTGCGAGGGCCGTAGGGAGAGGAGAGCGGAGGGTTGGGAAGGGGGTAAGGATGGGGAAGGGGGGAGCGGGAAAGGAAAGCAGTCCTTCTTCAGGCTGCTGACCACGATGGTGCCTGCCGTGGCAAAGCAGTCTGCTAAGTAGATGTTGACCATCCACAGCTGCATGCGAATCTGACAGAGGGGGAGTATGGGGAACCCCGGGTGGTGGGAGATGAAAAACGGGAAAGAGGGAAAATGGAGGAAAACGATGGTAAACGAAGGGAACGGAAGGAGAACGGAAGGAAAACAACCGAATGGAAACGGAAGGCAAAGGAAGGAAATGGAAGGAAAACGAATGGGAAATGAAGGAAAGGGAAAGAAAATGAAACGAGCAGCACAGTGGAAATGCATGGAGCATGGAGCCAGCCAGGGTGGCCTGGCGACTCAGGAGTCGACCATTGAGTCGACTGAAACATGGAGCCGGGGGTGGCTTGGCAAGGTGTGCGCTCAATAGTGGGATGAAGCAAGGTGGGGAGGTCAACGGTGAGGCGAGGGGGGTTTAGGGAAGGTGGAGGGCGAAAGGGGAAGGGCAGGGCATGTACGTACCTGATGAGCAGCCACGGCATGCACCCCGAGTGATGTGGCACAGGCGAGCACGAGGAAGAAAGAGAGCTGTGATGGGGAGAGCGGGTGTGTGGACGGGCGGGTGGGCGACAGGCCGGGCTTATTGAGGTGTCTAATAGATGGTAGCACAGGCGAGCACGAGCAAGAAAGAGAGCTGTATGGGGGGAGAGAGAGGGTGTGTGGACGGGAGAGAGGGGGTTTGGGCGGGCGGGCGACAGGGCGGGCTTATTGAAGTGCCTGAACGATGGTCGCTGGCACAGGCAGGCACGAGCTGTGGGAGAAGATAGACGGCGTGTAGGCGACGACAGGCAAAGGTGGGCAAAGAAAAGTATAAGCTGGGTTGGAAGGGGAGGTGAAGGCGAAGAAACACTGATGTTTATGAGAGGTATTGTTCTGTGACTGTGATAGCTGTGACCCACATAGCGGTACAAGTGGCTGGTAATAAAAAGCATGCATGCACCCATAGCATGGAATACATAGGAATCTAAACAGGGCATGGTGAGCCTCACTCACTCACGCGCACGCATGCACACCCACACATGCACACCCACACATGCACACCCACACATGCACACCCACACATGCACACCCACACATGCAGCACCCACACATGCAGCACCCACACATGCACACCCACACATGCACACCCACACATGCACACCCACCCATCCGCAGTCGCACACACCTGTACAAGGGTGCTTCTGAGAATGGTGCTCAATCCGTCCCACAGAAACGTCCACGTGCTTTCGTTCAGCACCTCGTTTATCCTCTCCTCCTCCATCTCCTCTGCCTTGCACTTCCCTTCCGCACTCCCTCCCTTCTCCCTCCCCACGCTCCCCCTCTTCTCCACTCTCTCCTCCTTCTCAGTCTTCAAAAGCAGCATCGTGGAAGTTTCCTCCCTCCCCACCACCACTCTAACCTCCACATGCTCCGCACAGCCCCCCTCCATCGCGCCCCTTCCATCCACGCCCACAAAATTGTCCTCGTTATAAGCATTCTCGTCACGCTCGTTTACATGCTCTTCAACTGCAAGCCTGCTATCCTTTGCAGCAACCACTGGAATCCCCCTTCCCTCCTCGTCTGCTTCACCTTCCTTCCCCACCATTTCTGCATCACTTCCCTCCTCATCCCTTCCCTCCTCCCTACCTCCCACTCCAATTGCCTGCTCGTACTTTTCTCCTGCCCCACGACTGCGTCCACACCCATCTGGCCGTTGATCAACCTGATACTCTGAAACAACACCTCTACCCGCCTTAAACATTCTCCCTTCAAGAAGCTCCAAAACTCTCTCCTCTATCATGCCCACCTCCTTCCCAGCCCCTTCCCTCTCCCTCCCATCCAGCAGCAGCATCTGAGCGTCTGCCAATGCCGCCGCACCACCCACCCGAACCTTCGAGCAGGTCCGGGAAACCCGCTGGCTCAAGGCTCGGCAGAGCAGAACCTGCGGCACGGTGACCTTCCGAGCCAGAAACGACAAGATCGGTGGGAACACAACAATCTTTCCTTTGCCCTGGGGAGGCGGCAGGAGGAGGATACAGGCAATGGAAACAGCTGCGACGGTGCAGGATGCGAGGAAGGTGCCGATGCCCACACCCACGATGCCCCAGTCAAGGACGTAGAGGGAGAGATAGGAGGCGGCAACGTCTAGCAGCGCCCGTGCTGCCTGCAGCCATGCCACCAGCGCCACGTGCTGGAGGATGGAAGGGAGGAGAACGAGCAGAAATGGGACGTGAAGGGCAGATACCGAGCTTTTGAAAACGAACAAGAAAACAAGAGATAAAAAAAACAGTCAAGATGGGGTCGCTTCATAAGAACGGTTCACTTCAATCCTTATGCCCTTAACCCCCTTGAATCTCCAGTCTGAACTGAAGTACCATACTACCGTGTAACACATACCCACAGCTTGAAGTGTCTCGTACCTTGTATCCCTGCAGCACGCCCGAAGTGCACATGACCAGCAGCTGTGGCGGCACGCCCATGACTCTCAAGTAAAAGTAACTCTTAGCGTACTGCAGCACGGATGGCGAGTCATTTAGCAGCGCCCACAGCAGTCCCTGCGAGCACAGCAGCAGCGCCACGGCCACTGCACTGGTGGCTAGAGCCATGGCGAATGCAAGGCGGATCCGCACCCCCACTTGCGCCCACGCCCCCACTGCCACCACCTTAGTGACCTGCAGAGAGGCAGAGGGAAGCAGGATGTGGGGGTGGTAGAATGATGTCTGTCGCATCCCATGGGCGCCCACAGGAGCCCCTTGGTGGCTAGAGCCATGGCCAATGCGAGGCGGATCCGCACCCCCACTTGCGCCCACGCCCCCACTGCTACCAATTTCGTGACCTGCAGCGACAAGAGAGCAAAGAGAGTTGCACAGCAGAGGGGGAGCGGACGGGAGGGTTATAGCGAGGAATCTGTGGGCAACACGCACAGCTGCCCCTGCGCGTACAGCAGCCCCTGCGTGTACAGCTGCCCCTGGGAGGACCGCAGAGGAGCCACAACGCGCTCGATAGTGGCTAGTGGCGCAGTGGGCCAACGTTCAACGTTTGAGTCGACTCAACAGCCACCTCGCTGCTACTTTGCGTGGGTTTAAAATGGGGCACGGACCAAAGGAAGGGGGGGAACGAGATGCGGCTATTGAACTGAGGCAACACGAGAGATGTTTGGTGCGTGAGGCAGGGCGCACGGGACATGGGATGGGATGGCGGCAAAACGAGGTGGAGAAGGTGGCAGAGAAGAGAGGGTCGCGAGGTGCTGTTGGGTATGATTGGTGCCTCAAAAGCCGTTGGGTTTTGAGGCGCCTTAAAACTCGAGGTGGAGAAGGTGGCAGCGAAGAGAAGGTCAGTGGCGAGGCGCCGTTGGGTATGGTTGCTGCCCACCTAGCTGCCGCCTCTGCTGCCCACCTTAGCAGCCGCCCCTGCCGCCCACCTTACCTACCAGGCTACCACCCACCCACCTTATTTGCCACCCACCTTGGCTGTGACGCCGACAACAAGGAAGTTGAAAATGACTGTCGCTGCATTCGTGGCCGCTGCACGGTGGGGAGACGAGGGGGGGGAAGGCCAGGGAGCGGGAGAGTCGGAGGCGGGAAGGGGAGGTCAGTGAAGGAGAGGGGGAGGGGAGCGAGGAGAGAGAGGAACACGAATGAGGGTGATGGGGAAGAGAGAAGCTTAAGAGATCTGAAAGTGATGAAGGCAACCGAACCGTCTGTTGGCCCCACGCACGCATCCCCATGCCTCACACACGCATCCCTCTGCCCCACACGCGCATCCCCACGCCCGGTGCGCGCATCCCCATGCCCCGCGCGCGCATCCCCATGGCCCGCACGCGCATCCCCATGCCCCACGCGCGCATCCCCATGCCCCACGCGCGCATTCCCATGCCCCACGCGCGCATCCCCATGCCCCGCAAGCGCATCCCCATGCCCCACGCGCGCATCCCCATGCCCCACGCGCGCATCCCCATGCCCCACGCGCGCATCCCCATGCCCCGCACGCGCATCCCCATGCCCCACGCGCGAGTCCCCATGCCCCGCGCGCGCATCCCCACGCCCCGCGCGCGCATCCCCATGCCCCACGCGCGCATCCCCATGCCCCGCGCGCGCATCCCCACGCCCCGCGCGCGCATCCCCATGCCCCGTGCGCGCATCCCCACGCCCCGCGCGCGCATCTCCATGCCCCGCGCGCGCATCCCCATGCCCTGCGCGCGCATCTCCATGCCCCGCGCGCGCATCCCCATGCCCTGCACACAGCATCCGATGCGTGCCCTTGCAACCCAGCAGCGACTGGTGCACTACCCGAGACGCGGTTCCATGCGGTCTCTGCGAACTCACTGGCGACGACGGCCCACGCGGCGACGAGTTGCGTGTCCTTGCGACCCAGCAGCGCCGTCTGCACTGTGATCGCCAGGGGCGCGCCGCTCTGCAGCAGAATGGACGGCAGCGCCAGCCGGAACAGCGCCCCGTACCCCGTCGACGGCTCCGCGCCCTCGCCCCCGGGCGCTGACGGATCCGCGCCCGCGGACCCCCCCGTAGAATTGCGCGCGTCCGCACCCCCGCGCGACATGCTTCTCCACTCCCTAAAACCGAAGCAGAATTCCGACTTATGCATCGAGACCGAGCCCTTTCCCCATCGGCCCAGGGATCCTTGAGATTTGTTTTGGACGGATTTCGGGTCTGCAGGGGCCCTGGTTACCACTGGTAAGAGCTGCTCCTCGGGGGTCTCGAGGACAACCATGACGGCTGCACTGCCGCGCGTTTCAATGCGGTGCAACGGGATTCAGAGCGGTTCCTCGGTGTTGGAATGCGCGAGAACGAGTCGTCGGTTGCTTCCGAAGCAGCTCGATTACAAAGAGTGGGTGAATATTTCTGACGGCTATGAGATTTTTAGAACTAGGGAGCCTGTAATTCGTGCCGGAAACCCCAAGTGCAAAGCAACGCAAACCCAGATTAAACGTCGAGCTCCTGAATATAAGAAATTATGACGTCAGCGTCACTTCGGTTCTGGACTGACAACGCAGAGCTATCTTGCGTCAAAGAGTGTCATAGTTGTAAACATCTCCACTCTTGCAGCTTAGAATCTGAAACTCGTCGTGATAGCAAAGTCACCAGTGCACACAGTTGCCTAACGAGCGCTCCTATTAGCAGTGATAGGAGAGTTTCATGTTGCAAGCACTGGTGGAACAAGCACGCCATTATGCGAGAGCTCGCCTTGCAAGCTTAGTGGATGCGACACGTTCCTGGCCGGTTTGCTGGACTCCTGAACGCCCATTCACATCCACCTTGAAACCGACATGCAGGGCATGAGTTGTGTCAGTGACGTGGTGGTTGTTCAGTGTGGTTTTGTAAGTTTCCTCACGGTGAAGCGCGGTAGTTTTCAAAACGTACTGCACCAGCTAGAACCGTAGTTGAGTGATCTGCAAACCCCTTGGCTGCTTTTTGAAATTGAGTATTCCGCCGCCCCAGCGGCGGTGACGGATGTCAGCGCCCTCAAGGCTACGCACGTGGTGAGCATTCGGGGGATGGGGAAAGGAAAGGCGGGCGGAGTGCGTGCAACTGATTGGTGGAAAGGGGCGCACCGAATGGCTTCAACGAGAACCTGGCGGCGAGAATTATGAGGAAATGACGGGCCACCATGTTTGCGCGTTCTCTATTCCTTTCGGCAGTGGCTTTGACAGCGACTCTCCGTGCTGGCGCCCAATTCCCGCGGGCAGTTTATATTGCTATCTCCCATTTTTCGTGACCAAATGCATAGAAGGACAAATACTAAGTACCTGGTTTCAGTATAGAGGCCAGTGGCAAAACGAAAACCCGCTCAGATGACAAGCCATTTGGGAGGCATCGACACTAAACACCTTGCCTCATGGTGTTTAGGGTTGATGCCCTCTACGTGGCATACCATCCATGAAGGATTTTTTTTTGTCCCGAGCTGCGCGTTTGCTATGGACTCGACGCTGTTTTTGGAATATCCCGTTACTTAAAACAAATCTGTATTTGTGGACTCAAAAGGGGAAACGGAGAAATAATATGCCCCAAGGTATTGGACGCAAGCGCAAAGCAATGCGCTGTCAAAACCACTTCACATAGGAATCAGAAACTATAAAACACGGCGCTCCGTCATTTCCTCGAGAATGATTGTCGCCCGCGCAGGAAAGGCGCCTCGGGAACTCCGCGCACCAGGGGCAACTCCCTCCTCACACCTGTGATTCTGTTTCACACCATATCAGAGTTTTGAGACATAAATAAGCCGCATAAATACGCCTAAAATCGTACCCCACCGCATAAGAGTCAACTACTACCTGGCCGCCTTGCCACCAGGTAATTGAAACGCGGTAGGTATGTGTTTGGTGGTAGGTACGCATTTGTGCGAAAGCCAAGTGAGCGGGAGGCACCACAGCCCCGACCAAAGTGAGCTTCGTTTAGGAGCAGAATTTCGAAGACGCGAAATACAAGACAATGGACAGATATAGAAGGATAATTTGAAATACGCACAACTGACAACACCCTTGCAGCACTGCACAGCATTATCCCATGCCCTTTCGGACAATTAAACTCCCTGAATCCAACTAAGGTTGTGCCAGACAAATAAGTTACATAATAAGAAACATGGACTCCAGATATCTCGTCCGGTATTTGTGCTGAACACTACCTAAACAGTGCCCGGGGGGGCTGATTTGACGACCAATGTGTAGTTGCGAGTGGGGCTGAAATACTTGTGGTAAATGCCAAAGCCCGCAGCAACAGCAACGACCACCACAGCCACCAGAGCTGCGAACGCCAGCCAGCCTGAAATGACCAGCCCGGACTTGCCACTCGACCCGTCTGCTGCAGCTGCCGCAGGGAGCTGGTGCACACAGGTGGTGGGGGTGAAGCATAAGCGGGATGGAACAGGGGGATGTAACATGTTGACTCAAGAATAAGAGAACAGACACTGCGTATCAACCCATAAATCTGTACTGCATGTTGTTACACCCGCCTCGAGCATCATTGCACTCGCCTCTCACAAGCCCCCTCGTTTATCCCTGTCCCACACTCACCTCCTTCAGCTTCAACAGCAGCTAATCCTGCTTTGTCCCATCAAACGTTGTCCTCTTTACCACCAGAGTTTTTTCCCACCCTTCTCACCCCTCCCACCCTTCCCACCCTTCCCCGCCCACCTTCCCACCCTTCCCCGCCCACCTTCCCACCCTTCCTCACCTCCTTGAGTTTCACCAGTGCCTCATCCAGCTTCGTCTGGTCCAGCCCGCCCTTCACATACGCCCCCTCCTTGCCTGCCACCTGCACCAGCCTTGTGTCGACTCACCACCAACTCAAGCGAGAGCCTCATCCAGCTTCACCTGGCCCAGCCCGCACGCCATAATGCCCCCTTCCCTCCCTGTCATGTCACATACACCAGACCTTGAGTCAACCCAGCAATCAACTCACCTCCTTGAGCTTCGCCAGGGCCTCATCCAGCTTCGCCTGGTCCAGCCCGCCCTTCACATACGCCCCCTCCTTGCCTGCCACCTGCACCAGCGCGCGGCACCCCTCCGATAGCTTATCGGGCTGTGCGGACAGCAGGCACTGCCCGAACACACCAATCACGGCGCCGTTGATCTCCTTGGGCTTGGGGGTGCTGCCCGCCAGGCAGATGCTGTCCACTGCGTCGTCACAGGAGGATGTGAGATAAGCTGCGCGGTGGTACTGGAAGAGTGCCATGCGCACCACATAGGACACCTGCAGAGGGGAAAAAGGGGAAGGGAGGGAGGGGGGGAGGGGGGGGGGGGGGGGGGGGGGGGGGAGGAGAGAAGAAGGGGGGATTGACGAAACAGATGCAAGGGACTGGGGGCTGTGAGCTCCGCTGCCCGCGTCCTTCCACAGTACTGCTTCAGGTCCGCCCTGGCACTCCTCCCTGAGGCACCAACTGGACGTATGAACACCCACCAACACACACTCTAGTCCGCAGGTCAATTCAACGACCAACCACCCACCCAGCCCATGCACCTCTCCCTGGCACGACCAACCAACAGCAACCCACTCAACCGCACTCCACCCAGCCCACGCACCTCGCCCTGGCACGACGGCGCGAGGCTCTTGAAGTTGTCGACCATGCAGTTGAGCACCACGGCGTGCCCCTCCTTGCCGGCGTCCTTGCCCTCACAGTACTGCTTCAGGTCGCCCGCGCACTCCTCCCTCAGCCGCACGTCCAGGCGGTAGTTGGCGGCCTTGCGCGCCACCTGCAGGTTCACCTCGCCCTGGCACGCCGCTCCCATGCCCACATCGCTCACGTGCTGCTGCAGACATTTGAAAGCGCGCCCTCCCCTGGGCGGCACGTCGCGACAGAAGCTCTGCAGCTCTGGTGTGGGAAGGAAGAGGGGAGAGGGAGAGAGAGAGGGAGGGTGGTGGCGGAATGGGGACACGAAGCTATCGTATGCAGGTGCTGTTGCAGCACTTGGAAACTTGAATCTCCGTCGTTGGATGGGTGGTCCCTGCAAAAACCTCCGCACGTGGATATGTGCCTTGATACTTTCTAAAAAACAGCTATACCACTAATGAGAAAGGCCTAAGCGGCGCAGGGGATGCGGAGCGGGAAGGGGGTTCATCGAGAAGCGGGGAGATGATGTGAGTGAACAAAGCACGACATCACCACCGCACATGATCATGGCATGGCACCACAAAGAACCACTCCAATAATCCCCGACTATTAACCGAGGGAGAATGTAAGCCGCAACCCCATACACTTCTCGCACGCCTTCATACCTTGCCCACAAGCGTTCATGAGGCTGGGGGTGATACGAATATCCGAAGCCTCCATCACGCTGAACCGCATCTCCTCCTTCCGGCACGCCGCACTCAGCTGGTCCCTCTTGCCCCGCAGACAAGCCAAGCTCCTCCCATGATCCCTCCCCACATCCGGGCACAGCGACTGCAGGTCGCCCTTGCAGGCCGCCTGCAGAGGCACGTCGAGAGAGAGCGGGTCCTTGGCCTCCAGGATGCTGAACGATGTGATCTCCTGCTTGCACGACTCCGATTCGATTTGATCCTGATTCTCCTGCAGGCACTTGACCACGGTGCCCGCGCACGTGACGGAGCCGTTGATGCTGGCGGCGTCGCACGCGTGCGAGCAGTGCTTCTGGATCTCAGGCAGGCACGCGCGGTGCAGACGGTAGTTGAGTCGGTAGTCTGAAGGGGTTGGAGGGGAGATGGGTGAGGGAGAAGGATGAGAGAGAAGGGATGGGAGAGAAAGAGGTAGGGGAGCGAAGAGGCACGGGTGCATGGTGAGGAACAAGAACAAGAACAAGAATGCAGCGAGGCGAAACGGAAAAGAAGCACCTCTCACAAAGGTGAGAAGAGGCAAACGACAGCAAGACAGCAAGACAAAGGGGGGAAAAGAAGGCGCACCTCCGGCAGAGCGGGCCATGTCTCGCTTGACCTCCTTGCGACACTCCTCTCCCATGTCCGCACTGTCTATGCTCTCCTGTAGACACTTCACACGTGCCGCATGGCCTGCCGGGGATGGCAGGGAGGGACATGGGGACGACACAGGGAGGAAAAAAAGAGAAAGGGGGGCAAAGGAAAAGAAGCATC